GGGTTGATGCGTGTAGACTTTTATTGTACAGGGTAGATGCGTGTAGAATTTTCTTTACCGTGTTCATGTGCATGCACACATGTAGACGTTTCTCATTATGCTACGTGTAACGATAGGGATTGGTAGACGTTCGGATCATTAACTTACACACGCGCTTGAGGGCGCTTCTTCAGTTCAATTCGTGTAGCCGTGTATGTAGTCTACACACATACCATTCAAGTTTTTTTGGTCACATATCTTGCTGGGTATATCCACAGCAAAGCAAATGGACTTTGTCATTTAATTGACAGCATAACCGTTGATTTTAGGGGGCATTTCGGTGTAGCCGAGTATGCTGCAGTCATTGCGATTTCAAAACTTTCAAATAGGCAGCAGGATACAAGTTTACTATGAATGCGCACCAAGTTCAATTGTAAGAATATGGCACAAGATACACAGATCCAAACAAAGAACCAAAAAGAAACACTTACCTGTTTGAAGCAAGGAAAGAATATGAATTGACTGACTGCATGTACATGAACACCATCAAACCTGCAAAGAGGTACCATAAGACATTTCTCCACAAATGGACCAGTCCAGATGCAGTACATGTATGTAGACCATCAGATGAACCTGCTCCACAGATTGAACAATCTGTCGAAAAAAACGAAAATTTACAGGTATTAATACGCAAAGGACACATTCTTCACACAGTTGTCCTATCAGTCAAAACCACTCAAATTTCCCAAATGTACCTGTGTACTGGGGGAAATCAAGTGGAAGGAATTTTTGACTTTATTTGACGGTTACAGCAGGAGGGTTACTACACATGTACTGTACATGTATGATAGCACCACACAAAAGCAGTACAAATCAGAGTATACTGATGATGGTTTTATGATATGCACCGGTACAGTCCACAGAATCAATGCAATTTGTCTGCAGAGGCAGTGATGGCCCAGCGCAAACCTCAAAAATCCAGCACTTCATAATTATGAATCAAGGATATTACAAGTGCTCCTTTCCTCTTGATGAATTTCTCCCTTTCCTCTTTTTAAGAACTCTGAATGTTCTCTTCACATTATGAATTCACAGGGTAGTACAGTAGCTTCACTATTAACCCTAACACTCCTCAGTCCTCCAACAGGTGAAGGATTGAGGAGTGTTAGGGTTGAAGTACCGGTACCAACTAGCAGGCATTTGAAATTACTGCCTAGTACATGGGATGAATGTGAAGCTTGCTGACCAGCTCAAATTTTGCTGCGTTCCAGGTACAGGTGCACATGTACAGGGGGCTTAGAAAGCACTCGAAGATAATACTTTTTGACTTTCTTTCTTTATCCCGGTTTACTTTCATACAGTGACCTAAAATACAAATAACATCTTGATCATACTAGACAAAATGACAACTGCATCTATAGAGACAAACCAGCAAGAAGGAATCAGCCAAGCATGGACGGATGCAGCAAGGACAAAAGGAATGGGTGGAAAAGCTAGCAGCTAGATAAAGGGCAAAGGGGTCTACATAAAAGGTATGGTTGAACAAGAAAGGGATGTAAGGTGAGAAAAGATCAAAGAATAAATACAATGGAAGGCTGTGGACCTCAAGTGGGACAGGGGATAAGCTGCAGACAAAAGAGAGGGAGAAAGGGCAGTGTTCATTAAGTAGTTTCCCTCTGGGATGTTCAGGCCATGGACAGGTATGGTATGGAGGTGCTTGATCCAAAGCTTCTCCCTGCTGAAGCAAACAGCATGTGGGTGGTGTCCTACATGTACATGTAGTTACTTTATGTCGTGTCAGAAAAAGAATGGTTCAGAATGTTGAAGTGATGGCCCAGAGGGGTATTTCCACATAGTTGCTTGGTGTCTGCTGTAGATCTGTGGCAATAGAAGTGCTTGAGAGGGCTCTTAGTCTTTCAAACATACTGAATAGTGCACACCCTACAAGATACGTACATGTATGCTACATATTGTGTACATTGTATGACATGAGAAAAGCCACATGTACATGTACAAGTTATGCAATGTTATACGCCTTTAGCTCCGTGAATGGTACTGCACCAGAGAAGAATCCAGAGAACGCGTTTCAATCTCAGATGTGGTTCTAGCAAACAAAACATCTTTTAAAGTTCACACTTGAACCAGACAAATCATTGAAAAAAACCTCTGAAATGCCTGAATTTAATTTACTCAGACAAAACATGTAAGAATCAGAGATATTTTGAAACAGCCCCCAATTTAGTTAAGTTCTACCTTTCCTCAAACCAACAGTCTCATCTTGATTGGTGGCTGTCCCAATAACTGAGACAATTGAAGACTTCTGATCATTGATCACCGTTAAATAGAGATCAATGCGTCGAAGGAGATGGGAATCCCTGTCCAGTCAAAAGCCAACTATCATGACTCCCTTTAAAATTGGTAAAGCTCATGGCACAAAAATGGAGCATTTCAAAGATTGCTCTTAACAGTATCTGGGCAGATTACAAATGAGTGCACAAATTTAAAATTTGTGTACTTTCAAAGACGGCATTGATCAGAATATGGTTTGAACTGACCATTGACCAACCTACATTTGATGGTTAGAGAGGTAAGAGGATGAGTTCTATATATGGACACCCAAATCATTTCCTACAGTGACCTATTAGCCATGAGAAAGCAAAAACAAGCCCAGAAAAGTTCAATTTAGGAGGGGAAAAAATAACTTGTTTACTTAGAAAACTCTGTGCACAAACCTATGGGACTGGCCTTTCCAATTGTTTGAACTTGGTAAGTAAACGACTTGGTTTGATCCCTCCTAAATTCAACTTTTCTGGGCATGTTTTTTGCTTTCTGATGGCTAATAGGTCACTGTAGGGAATAATTACTTGCGTCTGTCATGTCTGTTTACTGCAACTCTTCCTTTAGAATTTTTCAGATCAATCTCATCTGCTCATAGGGTTTGTGCACAGGGTTTCAAGCGGTGTCCGTATGTGGAACTCTTTCAAAGGTCAGTGCCCCATCATGACCATGATGACCATTTCACTTTACATCCCACTACATCAATAAGTGCAAAGTCTTTCCTCGTATTGCATTCACATACCATCAAGGCCGTCGCATCGGACGTCGAGCTCTCGGCGCTTGTCCTCGCCTCGTGTGCATACTAGCTCGCTGCAGTGCATTGGGTTACGTGGCCCTGCCAGTACACCATGTGGCCACAGGCGTGCCTCACTCGCGGCATGGAGCCTGGCTCGTGTGTACACCACATCATCGGGTACAGACGGTGCCTTTCCACTTGCAACACTGGTAGTTTGTTGCTCTGTAGCTGTAGAAATTAACCATGACAGTAATGACGACACAAAACTGCTGGATAATAAACGACTGAACACTGCTCAAGTTATAACCGCTTTTTGGAGGGGGAAGATACACAGCGGATGAAACAACAGACAGAACTAGTTAAGACTGACTTCGAGTCATCGTATATAAAATGGCACACCAGAGCGCCACCACGTGTTTTGCGGATTTCGCCTCTTCATTTTCCAGTTTTTTGTAACGTCCTTTTCAAATGAAAGTTAATGAACGTTCACGTTCCTGCATCATAAAAATTCAATGACCCTCCACAAACAAATATTATATTTTTGGGTGTTTTACAAGGAGCTTTGCTTTTAGTCGACTTCGTGCCTGTTTAATTAAAAGGTAAATTCAAATGAAACCAGAGCTGTGAACAACAGAGAGACCTGGCACAAAAAGTGTGACCCTAAAGAGCACTAATAAAAGTTTGAAACGTACGGCATGGCAAAGAAGAGAAAGTTAAAATGTTGCTTAAGCAAACATTCCTTCGTATTGCAAATTTATACTTAAAACAACCGTGTAAGGACCGAGATTTTCTTCACGGGACAAGTTTTTGCCGTCATCAAGGCAAGTGCGTCACATTTTCCTTTTGTCAGGATGTAGCTTAGCCAAAGTATATCAGTACTCGCCACTGCAGCATGACATGATGTCAAGCATGACTTGCTAACTTGCTCACTGCAAACCGAGCAACGCGTCTTGAACCTGGAATACGCAACACTTACGCAACAGTTTGGAAACATTCTTCCGTTGTTCAAACGCGCTACTATCTCATTAAATATGCAGCGCACAGTGTGTACTTAGAAACTTGAAAACAAAGCGGTGGTTATGTCTTCGTGTTGTCATGTTACAACCCCACCCCATGATGAGCCAAATTTGCGTTCAAATCGAAACTTGAAGGCCGAAAAGTTGACACATAGCCACAGTATTGTATATTACCTATCATTTCTGCAGACACTGTGGTCGCAAAATCATTCGGCTCGTCCATCGATACCGTTCTTCATATTTTGTGAATGTAGCAGGGAAAAATGGCAGGCTATGAGGAATTAGCAAACAACAAAAACTATAACTAAACCAAGGATCTTTGAAGGAAAAATTGCAGGAAACTGAATTAATAAGGATTCAGACACCGATATTTGACTTTAAAAAAAAGGACAAAAAATAATTTATGAATGAAAAAATACAGGAAAAATGAAAAAAACTAAAAGGACTCAAGGACTAAAAACACCCAAAGACTAAGACTTTAAAAGACCCAAAACCCAAACCCAACACAGTGCGTAAAATGGACCTTATGAGTTTACACTCAGACTTCAATCTGTAGGAAAACAAGAGAAGTAGAAAACATACATACATGTATAAGAAACAACAACATTTCTAGTGCATTAACTACAAAGAACAGGAAGGAGAGCTGGATTAACACATCATAAAACTGACAATGTGCATAGGTCTATGGGGCTCATTTAGTATTCAAATCCCGTGGCAAGTCCAAATAAACAATCAACTAAGGAAGAGAAGACAAAGAAAAGCATGTTCTGAGGCAAATGGGTGGAAATACTTATACATCACTAACATTCCTAAACTAAAAAGAGTAAGAAAGGTAAAAACATATGAGAAAATCAGATAAATATAGATCTTAAAGATGATATTTAAGCTTATAGTGTGTTTTCTAGGCATAAAAGTTAGACAAACTTTGGAAAACTCTAGTGATTCAGAAAACTAATACGCAGAAAGAAAATTGACAAACCTTGGCAAAAAAGGTTTAGAAACTAAATAATATTAGGGACAGAGGGGAAAATCAACTTTATACATGAAAAAGAAAAGTTTAGAAACTCACCACTGACTCCTAGCAGAATAGGGCTCAAGCAGAAAAACCACACTCCAGTTACTGAGTTAGGAGGAACAATACATAGGTACATGTGAAGGTGACTGGTCTCTGCTGATCTGCTACACTGAGTGTGACCAGACCATGTGGTAACTCTATATGGGGGAAGCTGAGGCTTAAACAAATAAACAGGGGGGCACACTACTAGAAAAAATGAAGAACTCTAAACTAAAGTTAAACATTTTTAAAGGGGAAGTACTTCTATGTAAAAACGTGTACTTAATAACATAAACATTTCTGGCTCTGCCACATGAACTTGAATTTGAAGGATCCCTGTAGGGCCAAATGCAGGCCTTTTCATACAAGCGACATCTAAATTCTCAAGACATTCTTCCTTTCTTGCCCATAAAGCAAACACTATCAAATCGTCAATGTCGACAACGACCAAAGAAAAGGCCAACTTAGAGATCAGAAAGCAGGGCAAAAAATAAATAAGCATGACATGTCAAGCATTTTTTGTTGACTTGCTCACTGCAAATCGAGCAACGTAGGTTTTCCTGAAGGAGTACCATACTCGCTGAGTGACCACCGGGTCCGGAACACTTATAGTCCGGGGTTTTTAGTAATTCCGCCACCATATCTTGAGCAGTAAATCAAATCCAAACTGTAACCTGAAATTACGTGGCACTGTCAACATAGAAAGCCATAATTTATTTTTCATTTCTTCACTTCTTTTTTTTTTTAAGAAAAACAAAATGGCTGCCTCTACTTGAAGTATGTTTGAAAACTTCAGTGGGCTTCTTTTTTTTCAGAGCGTAGCAACAGATTCACTGAATCCATGTATAGCCACGGGAGAAGACGGAGTAACACAAAATTTAAGTTCCTATCCATGAATCTGATAAACTCAAGAGCCTGATCCCCAAAAAAGAGCCAATTGACATTGTTGAGACTATTGTATCGGGAAGCCTGTTCCAATTGCTACAAGTTCTGGGTACAAAAGAATTCCTATACGCTTCAGTTCTGCTGTGCAGCAAATCAAGTTGAGAACTATTTCCAGGGACTGTTCTACGTGGTCTTGTGGAAGCATGTTTGACAATAGACTTCGGAATAGCAGATGTACCCATATGCATTTGTTTCATCTAGATCAATGTAGCAGCTTCACGACGCTGTTTTGGGGTATCCCACCCAAAGTTTGTGATCATGTCGGTCCATATGCAGCAAGGTATGAGACAAAGAGAA